AACAACAATAACAACAACAACAATAAAGATGACAATAATTATTATTATAAAGATAATGCTATATAAGAAATTAATAATATATTACTGCCCTAGAATTACTCTTGTCAGCTTAGTACGGTACCTAGTTTTGAAATTTTTGATATTAAAAATTTGAGTTTCATTACTTTTCTCATGCAATTCTTTGAATATCTTGACAACGACTCCGAATAATCTTACGATTTTGATAAAGCAAAAAGAACGTTTGATTTCAGGCCTCATAGTCGTAGCAACTCAAAATAACTAAAAATGTCAGAAAGAACTGTGTAATTCTAAGGTCGTGATATAGCGCATTATACTCTCAGCTTAACAGCAAGCTCTGTGTCGTACTTGACAACCTATGTTTATCTCAGCAGACCCTAAATCACTTAGAAACATACTCGGCTTCGCAGGAAGTATACAGCATCTTTCTCACAGTTAGTGCAATTGGTACTTGTATGTGGGTGGTTGGTGGGTGCTATGGTGCTGTTTGCTCTTTCTTTCCTATCCAATATCTATCATCCTTCACTCCTCTCCTTCTTTTTGTGTTTGTTGCTCTCTTGTAACACCTCTAATCTTCGGCACTTATACGGTCTAGTGTGTTGCTAGCGCAGTAAAATTCTTACTTAAACATGATATACTTGTATCAAGTTGGACCTCGAACGGAAAACCCTGTGAAAATGCCATACACTTGTGTTACAAATGGTCGCTTTTAAGCACAAGGAGGCTATCCAGAGCGAAAAAAACTGTTTTGAGAAAATCGAAGGTAAAGTTTTGGCCCCTTGCTCAGTTTGTTTAAAAAACAAGGAGAGTTTTTTCTATAACCAAACTAATATATACACCAATTAAACCAAAATTCTCCTACAGGTAGGGCAATGGACACTTTTGGTGTGCGTCAAGATTTCTGGAAACCCCCATAATCTGGGCCAGCCCGCCTGTCTTTAAAAGCGACCAAATATCCAAGATTGTGCGCCTGGCGTCCTTCCAGTTGACCATTGACCACACAATTTGACTCTACTTGGTACCAAATGAAGGGCAAGGAGTAAAAGGTTGCCGCACACTTAACAGTAGTAAGACTGCTGTTTTGCCATTCATTTGCGCGCCAATTTGCGACCGGCCCGCAGCGAAGATACTTAATACACAGAATGAAGTGCAGCGGCCAAGGCAGTGCCCATACTAGGCGTATTACAATACATGTATTTATGACTTAAACTAGCCTCTACCAATACCATGATGGCACGTTCTGTTGTGCTTGACCACTTAAATATAAGGCTCTTGAAAGGTAACGGGGCTGAAGTCTACGTTCAAACTGATTAAGGCACACGAAAGAGAAAAACTGGAGTTTCCGATAGATTCTACTTCAAATCATGACGTACAATGTGTTATAAAAGATCATAATTCCCGTATTGTACCAACAACAAATACGAGCTGGACCATGGAAAAAAGGACCAAAAATTTAAGTAAACAAAGTAAGATTTAAGTAAGACACAAACGTTGTGTCTTCTTACGTCCAGCCAAACCTTTGTGTCCATATAAAGGGGCGTAACCATAAATTATAAAGAAAATAATGTTATGAAGACATTGAGTGGAGTCCCTTTATTTTTTAAATTTTAAAATTCCATTTTACTTATTTTAATTTATTAATTTATTATTTCAAGAAACGAAGACAGCAATATACATGAAGTTAAAATATTTTCTTGAGTAGGCTTATCTGATCTGTGGAATAGGTTTGGTTCTATTCTTCACTTGTAATGGTTTATATTTATAAAAGTGCAGGGCTTTTAAAACTGCCCAAACGTATGTGAAATCTATTCCGATGATTCTCTCTCTCTCTCTCTCTCTCTCTCTCTCTCTCTCTCTCTCTCTCTCTCTCTCTCTCTCTCTCTCTCTCTCTCTCTCTCTCTCTCTCTCTCTCTCTCTTTTTTTTTTTTTTTTTTTTTTCTCTGTCGCTCTCACTCTCTCTTTCACTCTCTCTCTCACTCTCTCTCTATCTATCCATCTATCTGTCTATCTACTTATCTATCTATCTATCTATCTATCTATCTATCTATCTATCTATCTATCTATCTATCTATCTATCTATCTATCTGTCTATCTATCAATCTATCTATCTATCTATCTATCTATCTATCTATCTATCTATCTATCTATATATCTATATATCTATCGATCGATCTATCGATCGATCAACCTCTCTTTATCAACAACGACTGCTTCCTCTCTACAGAACTCCCTGAAGACGCAGATAGACACACAAGGTATCGCTTGCTCCCTGGATGTCTCAGAGATGGTGAGAGAAGTAGAGGAGGAGCTTGGTCTCCTCTCCACCACTGCTGGAACTACTGTGGTTCCCCCTACCACAGGTATAATGTGTGTTTGTGTGTGTGTGTGCATTGTGTGCTTGCGTATGTGTATGCGCATTGTGGGCTTGTGTATGTGTGTGTGTGTGTGTGTGTATGCATGTGTGTGTGCGCGCGCGCTCGCGCGTGTGTGTGTGTGTGTGTGTGTGTGTGTGTGTGTGTGTGTGTGTGTGTGAGAGAGAGAGAGAGAGAGAGAGAGAGAGGGGGGGGTGAGAGGCGGAGCCAGAAAGGGAGTGATGGGGTGATGGAGCAGTAGTTGGTATTTTCCATAAAGATGAAACTTTGATTTTTGAACTTCTTTAAATGCAATTTTGTAGATGTTAAAGACATCCGTTGACACAACTTAGATCCTGTCTGCCAGAGATAACCCGGAATACATCGTCTCATTGTCTCAGTAGATAGTTGGAAGTACTCGATGCGATGAAAAACCTCCTCTTGGGAGAGAGGATGTTAGTTTTGACAAAATTTTTCGGCGCTTGCAGCTGCTTAATAATAATATCTGAACGCGAGAGGGAGTAGGTCAGGTGGAGGGGCTGGTGGGTAGAAATAAAATGTAAAATCCCCATTTCGAAACGTTTAACCTATTGCGTAAAATGTGGGGGGAGGGTGAACCTTAGGTCCGAAGAATTAGAGGGGTTCATACTTTACTTTTGCTGTTTCTTTTGGGGAAGGGGTGTTTTTGTTGTTATCATCATTTTTTTTATTGTTTTAATGTATTATTATTATTATTATTATTATTATTATTATTATTATTATTATTATTATTATTATTATTATTATTATTATCATTAAGGATTGTTATCATCATCATCATCATCATCATCATCATCATCATCATCATCATCATCATCATCATCATCATCATCATCATCATCATTATCATGATAGTGTTCCCCTACCTTCCAGTGGTGACCACAAGTCGCCCTAGCGGTGAGATCCAGGCCTGTTTCAACACATACGTCTCAGAGATCCGAAACTCCAGTCTGGAAGATGACCTGTGTCAACCGCTGGGAAGATTCGTCGGATGTTTGCTGTCGTCTGCTGACTCGGCCCTCACAGCCGGCCAGGTAGACAACTTACAGGTCAGTAAATGACAGCGCCGAGTGTCAGGTCTAAATACTGAATGATATGTCAAAACACTGAATGATAATGTCAAAATATTAATAAAATGTCAAAATATTAAATGATAGGTCAAAATACTGCATGTTATTATGTCAAAACATTGAATGATGGGTCAAAATATAAATGATACGTCAAAACAGAGAAAGAATGGTCACGACATTGAAAGACATGTCAACAAACGGTTTGACAGAGGTCAAAACACTGAATGATTGGTCCAAACATTGAGTGGTATGTCAAAGCATTGAATGATAGGTAAATATATTAAATAATAGGTTAAAATACTGAATGAAAGGTCAAGACATTCAGAGAATGGTCAAGACGTTGAAACGCAGGTTAAAACATTGAATAGAAGGTCAAAATACTGAATAACAGGTCAAAACACTGAGTGATAAGTCAAAACAGTAAATGATTGGTGAAAACATTGAATGGTATGTCAAAATACTGAATGATAGGTCAAAACAATGAATGACGGGTCAAAACACTGTATGATATGACAAAACATTGAATGATATGGAAAAACACTGAGTGACAAGTCAGAACACTCAAAGTCAAAACACTGAATATTATTATCATAAGTTCTGTAAGAAACATTGAATGAATCACAGATCAGAGGTGTAGCTGAAAGATATCAGTAAGAAGGAGCCAGGAGAAGCTGTGACGGTCAGAAAATTTGGAACAGTGTGTGTTAAACTCTGTGGTCGCTCGGTGTAAGATACTGATAAGTGCTATGTGCTACTTGTGCTGTTATTAGATTACCCAGTCTGGGACACTTGTAAGTGTTTAGAGCTCTAAACACTTACAAGTGTCCCAGACTGGGTAATCAGAGCAGTGAGTTCAGAGACACCGATGGAATGATTGATTAGTTGTTGGTTGGTTGCTTGATTAGTTGGTTGGTTGGTTGGTTGGTTGGTTGGTTAGTTGGTTGCTTGGTTAGTTGGTCTAATTTCCTTCTTTTTAGTTTTAGTAAAAGTTTACAGGCACTTGCAACGCTATAAGGTCATATTAGTGCCGACGATTATAGGTGTTACAAGAGAGTAACAAACATAAGAAGGAGGAGAGATCAGGACAATAGATGTTTGAGAGGAAAAAAGAAACAAACCACACCACAGCACCTGCCAACCGCCCCAATTTCCTTTTTTCTTTCTGTCTTATTATTTACAGAACAGCATTGACAACCAACTCTTCACCAACAACCTGACCTGTGACATTAACGCCACTGTGATATATCAGGATCTGTCACCCTCCAACACCACGGCAGACCAACTGACGGCACCAACGACCGCAGCATCGACAACAGAAGCAGGCAGCTCAACAACAGGGGCAGTGAACTCAACGTCAGCACAGACAACCTTGACAACAGGGAATACAACTCTTACAACAGGAGAGACAACCCTGACAACAGGGGAAACAACTCTTACTACAGGAGAGACAACTCTGACAACAGGGGAAACTACTCTAACAGCAGGGAAAACTACTCTAACAACAGAGGAAATAACTCTAACAGCAGGGGAAACCTCTTTTACAACAGGAGAGACAACTCCTACAACAGGGGAAACAACTCTTACAACAGGAGAGACAACTCTAACAACGGGGAATAATATCACAATAACTCAACCAGGGTACAAAACCGTAGCCAACGACGAAACCTCAATTACGAGAGTAACAACTGATAGCGGTATTTCTTCGTCAGAGCTAGGGAACACCACTACTGTCGGAAGTCCGCCAACAACACCAGCAGCGAAAGCTTCTACAGCCAGTCCAGGAGGGGTCACCTCGCTTGAAGGTAACGCAAACAACTACTGGAGCACAACAGAAAATACTAGAGATTCTGCTGGTCTTGTGAAAAGCTCAAAGATAGTTATTATTGTTTCCATTTTCTTTGCCCTTTATAAAAATGTATTTGAAAGTTTGGTGGACTGATTTAAATCATGGACGTTTTTAAAACCATTTTGAAGGGTGGCTAAATTGAGTTACCTTTTCTACCTGTACTTTTTCCCCAAACAGTCAAAGACTTCTATTTCTGATCTTGTTGGTACGTTTCTTGTTCACCTCGTACACAAATATGCAAAGTCGTCCCATGCATGTTGCCATTGAAAGACATCTTGTATGGCGTGGGGAGATTGAAACAAAGGAGAGACAAGCGGTCAAAGAGAAAGGGGGAGCGGGGGTAGATAGGTAGACAGAGTAAACAGGTGTATATCGAAACGATAATGGCCATTTCGCCCTCGGAAAGCGTAATATAGGTGGTCAATAACAACAGAAAGGAAAAGAAGAGGTGCCCTTTAACACAGAATGCGAGAGAGGGAGTGGATTGAGAAGGGGGGAAACCGATAGACAAAACTGTCACATTATGTGAAATATTTTAAAGAATTCTTTCTGCAAACCAAATTAACGTAAAGGCATCACGAATGAACAGAGAGACGAAAAGACTGCATGAAGAGCACCTTTAACTCTGTTGGTGGTACGCTGGGCTAATGGTTTGAATATCAAATGTGGTGTTTTAGAACTTGGCTTTGTTTGGGGCTGTTTTCAAGGCCTTTTATCAAGTTGCTTAGGGTTCTGTCGAAGAAAACATTTAATATTCGGAAGTCCTGTTGATGTACATTGTTGAAATTGGCGAAAAACTCGTACCATATCACTTGAACTGCAACAGGTGAACACCCACGAATAAAAAAAGTAGGCCTACAGCTATGTCAGCACCTCGTTAGGCCTACTGCATCATCCTTTGGATGTTTGCGCACGTGGTAACGGGCAGAAAGACACACAAGCTCCAGATCTTGCCGGATATAAGGCAGACGGGTCATGGTGTTCTTTTCCGAGAAATGAATCTGTGGTTGTGTTTTCGTCTTGAGGGTTCCATAATATCGTATGTGTGTTACCGGTTCATCCTCATTATTGTCTGTTTTAATGCCATCCCCTGTTGTGTTCCATGGTATGTCATTATTTTTTCGATGCTCAAAAACGTTGTTTGTTTCTGGCTGTTTTTTCTGTCCGGTTTCTCGACACTTGGTTGCCTTATATTGATTATAGTGTCCCAAAATGTACTGTATATGACTATTTAAACTTCGATTTGTTTTTGTTTTCTTTTGTTTTTTTGTTGGTTTTTTTTTAGCAAACAAATCACTCTTTACTTTCGATTGTGAATAAAAACGGTTTTGAAGCAATAATGTGTGAGGATCAGTCTTGCTTTTTTTCTTTTAAATCTTACAGTATTGTTTAACTCCTGATAAACCATCGATCTACATAAGGCACTTGAAGACCCAACGAACAGATGGCAAGTTAGCTTCAAAGTGTAAATGCATTATACATTGGTCGGTCACGGAAATGTACCGCTTGTTTGGTTTGTTTGTTTGAGTAAAAACAAGCACATTGACACAATAATGGGCACGTAGTGCTGGGAAAAAGGTAACACAAACAGACAGAAATAACCGAGTGAAAGTAAAGAAGTAAAACCTATCAGTGGCGCCCTCCAACCTCCCGCGAAATATACCGCATGCGCAACAAGGGTACCTTATTGCGTTACCTGAGAATAAAACAGATCAGCCTTCAATAAGAATCTTCAAAAGGGTTTAAATTGTTGAACTATTGTGGACCGTGGAATGGATGGCAAAGATCTTCTCCTGGTTTGTGGTTGGCGGCTGGTGGATGCTCTGGTGTGGCTTGCTCATTCTTTCCTATAAAACATCTATCGTCCTTATCTCTCGTGTCTCTCACCATTCTTTTTTGAGTTTCTTACTCTCTTGTAACACCTCTAATCTTCGACACTTGTATGACATAATTGTGTCGCAAGTGCTGTAAAACTTTTACTAAAACAAACCAAAATATGTATATACATATTATTTTCCACACATCCTATACCCAAGCGGAGGATGCCGGAACTAGCGCTGCCTTGATCAATGCGCTAATAATATTATGTGGGTCAAAGAATGGTTACTGCAAACCAGGTGTGTGTGTAACTGTGGTCCGATGGCCACACCCAGGCCTGTAACTGTCAGGTCAGTCAGCGTGGCTCTCGCTAACCTTTTTTTTTTTTAAATACAACCCAAGAGACTAGTCATCATTAGATTTTTAAATTATTTTTGGTAAGTTTGTAATGGTGTTCGCACCTGCATAAGGGCATATGAGCGTCCGGGACACATTAAATATTTATAGCTGGTAGAAAATTTTGAATTTTGCCAGGGTGGCGGCCGAAACCTACTCTCACCGATTTTGGACCACCAAGGGATCTTTAAAGTGTACAACTACGACATGGGACCTCAGAGATTTTTTTGCCCTTTTCTGAGAAGGCTAGGTGTAGATCATTCCTACCAGAAGATCAGGGGTATGGCTGAAAGACAAGAAAAAAGGAGCCAATGAGTAGCAGTGGAAAGGCTGCAGAAAGAGTCAGAAACCCAGAGGAGGGGACAAAGGAGGGGAGGGGGTGGGGGCAGAAAGAGGAGACGAAAGCAGACGACAGAAATTGCTAGAGAGCAGGAAAGGAGGTGAAAGGGGGCACCTTTAGAGAAAAAGAAATTCCGTCGCTACCCAGATTCCAACCCGGGACCTTTTGAATGAGAAGCGAAAACTTTAACCTCTAGGCTACGACCCCCATTAGATCAGGGTTGTGGCTGAAAGACATTTTGAGTTCCCAAAACTTTTTATTATGCTAGGTGACTTTAATGCCCATAGCTCCCGTTGGGGAGATAAACCCACAGACCAAAAAAAAAGGAAATATAATCGAAGATTTCTTTTTTCAAAATTACATCTGCCTCTTGGATTATAGATCCCCCACTTACAGAAATAGATCCACTTTTGGCATTTCGTCTCCTGACCCCTTATTATATACCCCTGACCTAGTCCCAGATCTTCTAAAAATAACAATAGCCACCAAAACGACCCGACATAGGAACGCGCTAATTTCTAAAAGGCACACTGGGACGGATTTGCCATTGAATATTCCCAGATTTTAAACCCCACTTTCGACCTCAAATACAACAAATTCCACGAAACGCTTCTAGAAATGTGCCACAAATACATACCAAAATCATCTCCAAATCACCAGAAGAACAAGATCTGGTTCTCTGGGGAATTATGATGATGCAGTAAAGAAAAAGAAGGTAGCATGTCGAAGAGAGGTCGACAACAACACTACAGAAAACAAAACAATTGTTTTTTATACTCGATCTGAGGCACGTAGACGCCTCAGGGAGAACAAAAGACAATCGTTCAAAAAATGCATTTCCAAAATCAACAGTAAGACACTAGATCTACTCAACAAAGTTTTCAAAATAGCTAAAACATTAGTGGGTAGACGGCCAGACAACATCTGGCATGTGTTGTGAGGCCAGATGGCACCATAGCAGAAACACAGGTACACATCGCAAACACAATAGTTGCATCTCTATCCAAAATCTAATCCAAAGCAAACTACAACACGACCTTCCAAAACATCAAAACCAAATGAGATCAACAACACCTAAACTTCTACTCTAAAAACATAGAAACCTTCAACGCAGACTTCATATTAGACGAACAAACACCGTGCATCTCGGACCAGAACAAAACAGTCCCGTGTCCTGATGACACTCCCAACCAGATCATTAGACATTTACCCTCAGAAACACGCACACTTCAACGAGACATACAACAGCATGTGGCAATCGCACTCTTTTGCGGAGTCTTGGCGACTGGCCACTGTCATCCCAATACCCAAACCAAACAAAGACAACACACACCCATCCAACTACAGACCAATCGCACTAACAAGCTGTCTATGTAAACTTATAGAAAAAATAATTCACAGGCGACTCCTGTGATTTCTGGAGACGAATGGGCTCGCTGAGCGGTCTCCAATGCGGATTCAGGAAAACTCGATCCACTCTGGACCTTTATACGCGAGACGTTTGCAGAAGGAGGCCACATGATTGCCATTGTTTTTTACCTAGAAAAAGCCTTCGACACAACCTGAAAGTACGCATTCTCAGAGACCTGCACGCTCTCGGCATACGCGGTCACCACCCTGCCTTCATTGGCAATTTTCTTAGGAACTGTTCCTTCCAGGTTCGTGTCGGATCCTCCCTTTCAGATCCACACCAACAGAAGGAAAGTGTTCCCCAGGGAAGCACCATTTCCCCTCTTCTCTTTGAAATTAAAATAGATTCCATATTTCAGACCCTTCAAAATAGCACAGACAGCTTGTTATACGTTGACGACTTTCTGGTATTTTGCCGTTCCAAAAATTCTCAACTAAGATCTATGGAAAGGCACCTGCTCGAACTTGAAAAGTGGGCAAATGAAAACGGTTTCAAGTTTTCCTCGTCAGAGACGGTTCCAGTGCACTTTTGCCAATCAAGCAAACGTTTACTGCAGTCTGGTGTGACACTATACGGTGAAAGGATTCCCGTCCATGACCAGGCTCGTTTCCTCGGAATTTTATTTGACAAGAAACTTGCATTCTTTTCACACATAAAAGACCTTCGCGTAAGGTGCCAGAAAGCATTAAACAATTTAAACATTTTATCGCGTCCGGAGTAGGGCGGAGATTCATAATACCTTCACCACCTATACGTTTCCCTTGTCTGATCGATCTAGGTTTGACTACGGCTATGAAGTCTATGGATAGGTAAAACCCCACGTCCTAAACCCAATACACAGCCAAGGACTCCGCCTCGCCCTGGGGGCTTTCCGAACTTCCCCCAAGGAGAGCCTCCAGACAGAGGCACACATCCCAGTACACAACTGCATTTTCAGAACACACCCAGACACCATAAACAAATTAAAAAACAACGAAAAACTTATCAAACCGTTTGGCCTCAAAGTCCTTGAGGACCTCAAAAACATTCACTTTTCCAAACAAGACATCGAACAATTTCTTTTCCCCGACCTACCTCCGTGGCACCTCACCAAGGCAAAAGAAGACTTACAGCTCACCACACACAACAAAACAAGCACAAACACTAAAAACATTTTCAGCAGAATACAAAACGCATATAGAAAAACACCCCGGTGCGGAGCTAATCTTCACAGATGGCTCTCAATTGGACTCAGAGCAGCTGTTGGCACCGCCTCCCTGTATTCTAACAGCACACACCAGAAAAGACTCCATCCCGAAGCCTCCATTTTCATGGCATTGGACTCCGTAGAAAATTCCCCTAACACATCTTTCCTTATCCTATCTGACTCTCCGTCTTGCATCAACTCACTAAACTGGGTCCATGAAAACCCTCGGGTCTCTCCAGAAGAGACGAAGTTATTTATTACTCGATTACGTATCGTACACACCTCCCTGACACATGAGTGACTCCTGCAGGTAGATTAAAAACCGTTAACTGTTGAAACAAGACGCTATCTTCAGGGCAATGATCACTTCAAACTTTGCATTTAATGATTCCCCAAGTAGCATACCCACTATAGGTATACACAAATACGCGAAGCAGTCCCCATATTATTCAAGTGTGTAAGACATCCTCCTGGAGACTGGGAGGTCAGGGGACTTGATCTTCTGCAGGGCCGAGTCATAAGTCAGACTATGAAGTTGGCGTTCCGATGGCTGAGTCGTCTTGCGCCGGTATTCGACACAAGTAAAGAGTAACGGTCTGCCCAATTTCAGTATACTTTGACAGGGTGGGATATTCAAGAGCATGTAAACGTTATATTTCTTAAATGGCAACAAAGAACTACTTACTTCAACGACATAATGCAATCTCTCTCTCTCTCTCTCTCTCTCTCTCTCTCTCTCTCTCTCTCTCTCTCTCTCTCTCTCTCTCTCTCTCTCTCTCTCTCTCTCACTCACTTTCTCTCTCTTTCTCTCTTCCTCTCTTTCTCTCTTTCTCTCTCTCTCTCTCTCACACACATACATAAACACACACACATACACACATACATTCTGTCTGCCTGTCAGTCTGTCTGTCTGTCTGTCAGTGCCTGTCTATTTTTTATGAAGTCGTATGTCTCGATATATCCAGTAAAGCATGCTTGGTCTAAGTATGTGTCGTTCCTTTTTTTAGTAAAGAAATGAGGATTAAATCATGGTTCAATACCACGGTTAAGTCCGGTGTGAAATTTTGGAGGATTTTGGATACTTTTTGGAGCATATCAAACTTGTATTTTACCCGGGCACACTGTATAAAGTAATAATGGTTAAAGAAAACCCACAACGAAGGCGCCAACTCGAAAAACATCTTTGAAGTTTTAGACCGTGTCTTAGTCCATTTGTTGAACTAACTCCTGGTATGGAATTGAAAGACAGTCCTTTTTACCCAATTACAATGCATTAGAGCACCTTAAGTCATAATCATTTTGTTTTTCCTTTAAAAATGGTGCGGTGGCGGCGCGGTTAGTGTGCTCGTCTCCGAAGCAGAAAGTCCAGGTTCGAGCCTTGGTTCGGATACAGATTTTTTCGCCCCCTCCTGCCCACCCAGCAGTAATGTATACCTAACTTCGAGTTGGGGAAGTAAAAGCGGCGTGGAAAGGGACTGGCCACTCTACCAAGGCCCAGGAAGTTGTCTCACTAAGAAGGCAATCCCCAATGTCCGGATCGGATGCCGGAACAACTTTACTTTCTTTAAAAGTAAATCTGCTGTCTTATTTCGAAAATAGCACCATTGACGCCCATTATAAAAATAGCGGGGAAAAACGTGTTTTCATATTTCATTAATGTAACTCTGGCTTTAAAGATTCTTCTCCCCATTATCTGACCTATCCAAGGCTCTGTCCGTCTCTGAACTTACACTTACATGAACCTGGCCGTCTGTTCGCCCCATCACACAACGGGGCATCAGCTAAATTCTCCTTTTCTCTCCCAAACATTACAAGATGTCTGCTAAGTTTTTCATTTTTCTCCCTGTCCAAAATTAAACCCAGAATGTCTACTAACTTCTCCATTTCACTCCTTATACACATCTTTTTAAGAGCATCCGAGCAAAGAAATGAAAGGAGAACCATGATCGCCGATGTCTGTCGCAGATCTGGCACTGGAAGATGATAACACAAAAGGGCATCTGCCAATGTCTCCATTTTCCTCCCTACACAAAAATAAGCCCAGATTATCCACTAGCTTCTTCATTTCATTCCTTGCACACAAAAGGGACACCTGCTAGATTCCCCATTGCTCTCTCTCTCTCTCTCTCTCTCTCTCTCTCTCTCT